AAGCTCTGATGAGTCTCCGAAGGGTAGTATCAGAAGGCTAGCTTTGTGTTCGGGGGATCCAATTTGGGAATTGGATGATGAAAATTGGATCACAACGAGGGGCAGTGAAGCAGGGGTTTCAAGTTGTGAAGGGTTGGATTTGGATGTTGTTAATATTAGAATTAGTGATTATTTTTGTGATGATTATTATAATTTTAGTGATGTTAGCGTTGAAGTTGGTAGTTTCAATTTTGAGGGAGGCGTTGATGAGATGGTTATCCCTTCAACATTTGAGTTTTTATAATTGAACAATTGGAGAACTTTTTTATTTTCCCAACAGTATGGAGAACATCAGATGTCAGTGTTGCAGTTAATATCCAATGACCTTTCTCGGCCACGGGCCTAACTCGATTAATGTTTTGTGGGCACGTTTCACACTTGGTTTCATTGCCAAAGCCATTTTCAAAAATTGAACTTGTTTAATTTGGTGAAATAGTAGAACTAAAAAAATGAAAATGAATAAATAAATAAAGAGAAACAGAAGATGCAAGCAGGGCAGGCCCCAGGTGGTGGTTCTGTGTTTTAAACTCTGAACCTGTCTATGATGTTTATTTGTGTTGGTTGAATGAGTGTAATGGAAAGGAAGCATGGGAATCAAAGTTAGTGATTGGTGGCGATGGCATCTGTTTTGCCAACTATTTATCTGTCAATGGTATTTGGTAGGTCCAGAAATAAAAATCCATTTACTTACAAGGTTAAACTACTGATCAAACTCCTCTACCATACCCAACCTATATAATAAAACAGGTCGTAGTTTTAAAAGCAAAACGAATATGCAACAAATATTACGTTAGGTGGGTGAGGGTTAATGTCAAAGCGGGTACATCATGATAAATACCAATTCATCAAATGCTAATAGCACGCATAACTGGTTGAAATAGTTTTCGAGTCTCGAAATTTGGTCAATGCCCTGTAGGTTGATTTATCTTGTACGAGCGAATATTCAGACCAAAATATAAACTAAAGTTTTAATCTTTTATGGTTGGAGAATAGGTCCCTCCCTAAATTACTAGCAGAGTAAATTTTGGTCAATCTAGGGAGTGGCTGGGTTCAAAATTCCAATTCATTAGTTTATTTCCAAAAAGTTGCACTGTTGTCAAAGCCCCATCGAAAAAGGATAAACTCTTATCACATTATTGAGATGCCCTTCTTGTGAAGCATCTACACTACTTAGGCCTCAAGAGTTTAGAATCATGATTTGTCTTTGCAGTTTGCTCTTTTAAGCCCATCCGCACAAATCAGCTCCAGCTTAATTGTTTTCTGAATTCGCTTTTGCATTGGTTCCCAAATGCTCCAATATGTTTTATTTGATATGGATATGGGAATTGTAGGTCTAGGTGCCTGGTATGGGTAGGTTCTTCAAAGGTTACGCAAGCGAAAAAGTACAACAAAAGAGGACCAATTTGAACCGCTGGTAGAAAGGGATGGGGGAAGGACATGTAGAATATGATTTAAGTATTGTCGAACAATGTAGGTTTCTGTCCATAAAAATTACTTACCCTGCATAACAGTAAATGCTTTATTAATAAAAGGCTATGCTGAAGTCTGGTATGTTATATAGTTTACATTTACAAAATCTTATATTTTGAAAGGTTAGAGGATATGTTTAAACTTAAGCAACACGCCAATTACTTACCCTGCATAACAGTGAAAGAACCAAGAGAAAAAAAATAACTTT